CAAGCAAAATTTTTGCTCTCCAATTTCTGAAAGTTAGATGAAGTTTAAACCCAGGGAAAAAAGCATGGCGTGAGGGCTCTAAGGTAGACCTAAGGTATTCTAGAGCAAAATCCATTAAAGCTACTTCTACAGGAAATCGTTTTACACAGATATTGTATGTGGAATGAATACCATTAACTGCTCACCCCTTACATTTTTTTTTAAGCTTTTCTCTCATTTTGCTGTAATTTTTAAGATGTCACATATGAATTGGGGAACTTTAGCACCAAAATCAAGTCTCTCATAGTCCATCTAGTTTCCCCTTCCTCCCCACTTAAAAAAAAAAAACAAAAACAAACAAACAAAAAAAACAAAGAAATTAAATCGCAAAGTCCCACTTATGTCAAAACCTTCGTCCAACTAGTCAACCTTGCTCCCTGAAGACCTACACAAACCCGGGCAAGATTAGTCAACAGGGGTTTGGGCTGGAAGAAAAAGGTTTTGAATGTCAAAATAGGTTTCCCCCAAACCCCAAGTCCAGCAACAATTCTCTGAGGGAGGCGGGTAACTACAAGGGAGGGGAGAAGTGTGCGGGAGACTGAAAGGAAGGTGCACTTGTGTCGCCAGCTGGGGGAGCTGCTGGTTGCGGGTCACCCCCAACCCCACGGGCAGAGGCTCTGGGAGGCCCACGGGTGCCCCCTGGCGTTGAAGAGGTAATGTAGTCACAGTGACAAAGTTAGATAACAAGGCACTAAGTTGCTTCTGTAAACGGTTACTGCTTTTCTTTTGTGATTTGGCACTTAAGGCTTAAGCCGAAAAAAAAAAAGGCATCTACTGACAAATATGGGACTCTGTTATGCGTGGTTAAGTGGGCTATGAAATGGAGGGAGGGAGTTTCAAGCCAGAAGCTACCAACAAATTGACTTGTCCTTATGTTAGGGGAGGGGGCAACATACCAAGGTTCTGGGGAAAGGGGTTGAGCTTAAATGTATCAATGAAGGGGTTGGGGGAACGTTAAGGGGTGGGGAGGTGAGGGTATGGATGGGGTGCAAGGTGGGGAGGTGAAGGAGGCAGGGCGTCCCTCCCTACCCTGACTTAGTCATCTGAGATGGAGAGTCTGCTGAAAATGGGCAGGCGTCTTGAGTTGTCCAAGGTAGGGGAATCTGAGCCACTGTGGCTGCTGCTGGAGCTGCTCAGGTAGCCCTCCTGGTCCGAGAGAGAATCCTGAGGGCTGGGGGGAGAGTCAAACATGTGAGGGGACTCAGACATGGGCCGGAAGAGGAAGGTGGTGGGGGAGCCTCCCCCGGGCAGCCCCATGCTAGGAGCAAAGAGGCTTGCCAGCTCCTGGCTGGAAAAGGCGAAGGGGTTATTGGTGCCATCGGGCAGGGTAGGTGAGCCCAGGAGGTCATCCGCGCTCAGGATGGGGGGTGGGGTGATGGACGTGGGGCTGTCCAGCAGCCCCGTGGCAGCGGCGGTGGCAGCGGCACTGGGAAACCCAGCAAAGCTAAAGCTATGCTGGAGGCGGGGACGGTCAGCGGAAAGGTCCCGGCCCCCGGCCAGGGCGCGGCGCTCCTCGGCGTTGTGGATGAAGTGGCAGCGGGGCCCGTAGGGGCAAAAGCCGATGGTGTGGAAGGTGCGGCACAGCTCCGTCTTGTACTTGGGGTGGCGGGTCAGGCTGCGGAGCTCGTGGATACCGTGCGCGAACTGGCACTTGTCCCCGTACTTACAGGCACCGTTTTCTTCGAAGGGGCGGCACAGCTCCGTCTTGTAGCGGCTGGAGTTGACCTGGCCGCTCCCCGGCTGCTTCTGGGTGGGCAGCAGCCTCTCGCCCCCTTCAGAGAAAGAGCGGTCTCGAAAACGGCTGTCGCGGGAGCTCAGGGACGGGGCCGGCTCACCCTTCAGGCTGCTGAGAAGTTGGTTCTGGTGGAACTTGGAGCTGGGCAGAGTGACCGAGTGCCTCCGAGGAAAGCCCCCGCCAGCAGGGGTGCCCACTGCCTTCCTGTCCAGCAGGCAGCCCCCAGCACTAGGAGTGCTGTAGTTGAGCATCTTGTTACCCTGGGGGAAGGGGGGAGAAAAGGACCGGTGAGTGACTGAAGACACCCACGAGGTCAGGGCATGGTGTTCACAAAGGACAGCACCCCTTCAGATAGGCCAGTCTCTCTCTCCTCTCTAAAAGGAGCCACCTGGGTTTATTTTGGCACTGCTCATGAGAAACCACAAAATCCTGTTCTGTGTGGAAAAAAATTATGTGCGCATCCTGCTCCACGCTGACCCCTGATACGTAGCTTCATATCCTCTCATTCCTAAAGCTACTCCCCCCCAAAAAAAAACCCAAGTCCTGTTTATACTTTCCTCAACTCAGAAAACTTCACACAAGGCAGTCCTCTCTAATTTGCCTCCCCCAACAGAACCAGGTAAACCCCTGGGAGAAGACAGACAGGGAGCCAAATCCTCCCAATCAGTCCCTGCTAGCCCCCTCCCCCACAATCTGGCCCCAAACTCTCCACTTCCTCTTCCACAAGCGTACCCTTCCTTTAGCAACAGGTTTTTAAACTGCGCCCCCCTTTTTATTCTTGCTTGGGAAAGGGCATAGTCCCTTGGGAAAGGCATATGCACGGACCCCAAGCTTCTGGAAGAGTACCCCCCCAGAGGGGTTTCTCCCACCGTTCCCCACCCCCTTCACTGGGAAGACGTCTTTGCACAGGGTCTCCTGGCTGCAAGAGAGGTCTGGATAAGAGCACCAGTGTTTAATCTTGAACCAAAGCTGCAGATGGGCGAGCTCCAGCAACGCCCCCCCATACACCTCGCGGTCAATGGGGGGGCTTCAGCAAGGACACAGAGCTACCACAATCTCTAGTCACCTGCTCAAACTACCTAAGATTTAGAAAGAGTGGGGGTGGGCGACTTGAAAGTTATCTCCAGGCCCCTGACACATGTGGGTGTCATTGTGCAAATTCTAAAGTTAGTCCCTTAGGATCAGCAGCGGGGGATCGGGAATCAGTAACCCTGTAACCGCAGCCACCCCACCGAGAGGATTACAGGAACCCAGTGGAGAGCCGGTTCCCAACAATGAGGTTCATTTTAAAAGTCCTGCGGGGGGAGGGGGCAAAAGAAAGAGAAATAGATCAAAGAGCGGGCAGCCAGGACGAGAAGGATGGAGTTGCCCAGGAGCTCAGGCAGCCGCCAGGGCAAATAGACTTGGGGAAACGCAGGGAGGGGAAAAAAAGCTGAAAATTCAAAGTTTTTGATGTTGCTCTTCAGCTCCAGCACGCCCCTGTGCCCCAGCCCTGCAGCCCCGGGGCCTTGGCAGCTGCACCGACAGGAGCTGCAAGCTAGGAAGAGAGCAACATGACCCGACGTGTTTAAGGGAAGGCAAAAACAGTTCAGCAATTAAAAGTAGCCTAGCAGCTTCATCCTTTCAAATGGGGGAAGTGGGGGGTGGGGAAAGCAGAGTGGGAAAACATTTAACAACATCCATGGAGTTGTACATTTCAACCGCACTCCTGGAACATTCTGGCTTTAAAACTTTTTTTTTTCGAAAACCCGACTGGCAAACTACCCCCATCTAAGGAGGCCCTCTTAAGTCCTAACTGGCGGGAACTTGAGCTCTGGCAACATTTTGTTCCCCTATTCCTCAATCAACGAGCCGTAGTGCCGCACACACAGGTAAGCAGCCACTTCCAGCCAAAAGTTTGCAGCAAGAGACCAGCGCTCTCGCGGTGGAAGCCTAGCCCAGCTGGGGCGGGCACAAACTCCACTACAAACTCTCCTTGCCTACAATTTTTAAACTTTAAATCGGCCCCTTTTACTTGCCACATATCTCTAAGTTCTCCAAGGCAGACAGAGAAATTCTCCCAGCCAAATATCGTTCTGAGACTTCGCTTTTCCTAGAGACCCTACACCACAGGCGGGCAAAGTTGCCGGGTAGACTCGAACTCCTCCAGAGAGCACACCGGGAGCCCACCGAACCTCAGCTCCAGTGGTACACCATGCAAAGAAAGAATCCTTCCGAATTTGTCCCAATCCTAGCCACTCTTCCGCATCCCCGGGCCAGCCCGTGCCCCGCAAACTTCAGCAGTCGCCCAGAACTTTGCTCCCAAATTCACATGGAACTCCACCGGGGACCTGAAAGTCTGAGTAGGGAGGACATGGCCAAATTCCTTCAGAGCGGAGGGAAGCACAGTGAAAGCCCTTCACTCGCTCTGCGCCGCTTCCCCAGACCCGAACTTTTAGGTTTCTTTTAAGCACAAGAGAAACTTTCGGAAAGCCAAAGTTCCGCCCTAGTTTACCTTGCATAAAACTTCGCTCAAGTCGAAGATGGTGGCAGATACGAGGGTGGTGGTCATCGTGGGGGTTCGCACGGGGCAAGGGATAGGATCTGCTGTGTCGTGAAGGTCCCGGTGCGGGGAAGGCGCAGCCTCCGGCTCTCCGGTCTGGAGTCCCACACGCCTGCTCCCGGCGCCCCTCGCCTTTCTGACTCTCCCGGGCTGCGGCGCGCAAAGCCCAACTTATAAGATTTGGCGGATTGAGGGGAGGAGCTTTAAACTTATTTAAATGAAGAAGAGGAGGCGGAAAAAAAAGTTGATTGACACTGAGGTTGAATCAGCCATGCGGTCAAGCGGGAGGGAGGGGTAAAGGGGGAGGAAAGAAACTTTCAAAAGGAAGAAGGGGGAGGGGAGACGAGGAAAGAAGGCGGAAAAAAAAACCACTCGGAGCGGCGCACAACTTTTTTTTCTTAAAGAGGAAAAGTTTCGAGTCTGCGGGCTCCGCTCCCGGGCGCTGGGGGCGCCCCTCCCTGGGGCCGGGCGGGGCGGAGGGGGAGGGGCGCCCACCCTTTGTCAGCCTCGCTGCCCCGCTCTGTGACATCACTCATTCCACCCTCTTCAGAGTTCTGGTTGTTGTGTTGTTTTGTGTGTGACGGGGGTGGGGGTGGGGTGTGTGCGCGCATATGTGTGTGTGTGTGTGTGTGTGTGGTGTGTGTTTTGGTCGGGCAGGAAGGCGGGCTCGACTTTCTCTCCTTTTTTTTTTTTTTTTTGCTAGCTGGAACTGAAGCTGGTCTTGAGCCGGCCAGGGCTGCGGTTTCCATCTTGAGCTGGTGTCCCTTGAAACTTCTCCAAGTGTCCGCACGACTTACCTTTCCCTGACTTCCCTGTCCACACCCGGTTGCCCACCGCAAAACGAGCTGGGCGAGGAGTTTAGGAATTCAGAACACCCCAAAATGCTCGAATCAAGAGTCTTATGTTTGTTTCCCACCCGTGTACGGAGGAGTAGGGGCGACCAGGAAAACTTTTTTTTCCTCGGAGAGAGCCTGGCCTGGCGGGGGCGAGCGCAGCAAGACTTAGCGCGCAGCGCGCGTGTTCACGCGTGCTGGGCCGGCAGCCGCACTCTCCCGATAGGGTAAGGGGCACTGCTCAAAAGACCGCTGCCCGGGCAGACCTCGTTTAAACTTACTACAGAAAAACCCAGACTTTCATGGGCGCCTCTTCCTCCGGCTCACAAAAATAAAAGAGCAACCAGTCACTTTCCACGCGCGCTTTGAATCTGGGCTACCTCCTCCACACGTCCCCGAATGTTAAAAACAAGAAAAAAAAAGTTCCTTGGTAAGAAGGAAGGTAGAGGTGGGGGAAGCGACACTCGTAACTTCTTGCTGCTCTCCCGCCCCCACGCGAACGGAACATATGGCTTGTCACTCTGCCCTGTTTGCGGGTGCCAAGCAATGGGACCCACGGAACCCAGGGCCTTCAATGATTATTCCGCCCTTAAAAACCGCGAGCTATGTGTTTATTTACTACTAGGTTTGGCTGCCTCCCGCCCGCACTCGCTCGCGTGCTGGAGTGGGGACCCGGGCGGAAATCGCGGGCCGCGCCGCCGGGTTCCTCGCACGTTTCTTCCCAGCACTCGAGGCCGCCGGCTCTCTTATGAAACCCGGTGCGCCGAGAGGCTACGAGCGAGTTCCATTGCGATGTAATTAGGTCACCCCATTACGAGGACGTTTCTCTGGAAAGGACGGAGCAGGCAGAGCAGAGCGTTCGAGCCGCACCACCCCTTACACACACACACACACACACACACACACACACACACACACACACACACACACTTTTTTTAAAAACTGCATTTATTTATCGCCAACCTCTGGGCAAACCCAGGGAAACCTTCCAAATCACAACTGTTTTTAGAAACCAGTTTTGGGTGTTTTTTTCAACTTTGCGAAACACCCGACTTTTGCTGCAGCCCACGAAGCTAACGTAATTCCCTGCGGGGGTCTCTGCTTGACTCGTCTCCAACTTAAGTTGACGGCCCCCATTTTTAACCCGCTGCCGCTCCTGGCTTTTTCTGCTTGCTGCCGTCCAGCCGCCGGTTACTTCCCTCCCCCGCTCCCATTTTTCATCTTTTCTTGAAATCTGGCAAGCGCCGGGAAGGGAAATAACTTCCATCCACCTTAATTTAAATCATTCGGATGTGTAGGTCTCTTTTTAAAGGGATGTTTGCTCGTTCCCCTCCCCAGCTCCAAGGGGGTTGGTGTGTGTGTGCGGATTTCGTGCAGTTTCTTGGTGATGAGGTAATGAGTTCCAGATTTCGGGACAGAACGGGGTGCGTTAAAACCACAAGGTTAGTCTGAGCCCTGATGTGAAGCTATTTCGGCTTTTCATTCCGCACCACCCGCCCGGGCCGGTCCAAACTCCCGAGTGTTTGCGAAGCTCAGCTGGGGGGACGGGGCTGGGGTGGGGCGACCTCCTGGGGTAGCACCGTCCTTCTGAGGCGGTGGACCGGGCTTGGGGTACCCCGAGCTGCCTGAATAGTTTTGTTATTTTTTTTTCTCTCTCTCTCAAAGAAAAAGGCGATTCCTCGAATTTCCTGCGCCTTCCCTGCTCCCCTGGGCCTCCCCTCCCCCCGTTCCTCGGGGCGCGGGCTCCGCGCTCCCGGGTTGTTTACCCGCCCCGCCGACCGCCCGGGTTTGTTCCTGCTCCCAGAGCCCGTCTCTATAATTAAACTCTTTTTTCTAATTGTCGGGTTGCAACGTCATTTAGGGGACTTTCCAGAGGGGGGGAGGGGGAGCGGGAGGGAGCGCTCCTTAACCCTTCCCTGACCCTGCGCCGGGGACGCACGGCCTGCGCGGAGGCCGGCGACACCCGCAGGTGGGCGGCAGGTACCGGGCAGCCCCAGCCGAGCGGCGAGGCTCCAGGGCCGTGAGCCCAGGCCTCCGTCCTGCGCGGCGGCCCTGCTGCCGCCGCCTCCACCTGCGCCGCCGCTTCCGCCGGGGGGGGGGGGGGGGCGCCGCTCTGCCGCCGACTTCCGGTTCGCGCGCCCGGGCCGCGCAGGTATGTTGGCTTGGGGTGGGGGCGGGGCGGGGCCGGGCCGCGAGGTTCGGAGCCGGGGTGGGGTGGGGAGTGAAAGTCCTCCGAGGCAGGGAAGTGCGCGAGCTGTGTGCGTCCGCCTAGCCTGGGGCGAAGCCGTGGTCCCTGCTGAGGGGGCCGCTGCAGCGCCGGCTTGCGGACCCCCAGACGGCGGAACCGGTCAACGGCGCTAGACGCCGCCGCTCAGCGCCTAGAGGGGCTGCATTTCCTCCCAGGCTTCGGGTCATTTTTGAAATCTCCCAAAGTCTTGGGATTGAAATCTGACTCCTTCCCAGCCCTTTGCTACCTGAGACCTGGGGGAAGCCTCGAAGTCCCTGGGTTAAAGGGTAAAGGGAGATCTGGCCGAGGGAAGCCACCTGGGTTACCTGTCAGGTTTGTGGCTCCTGCCCGGCACAGTGATTCAGATCCTTTAGGGTGAGCCCAGGAATCTGCATTTCCCCCAGTGCGTCCAAGACATGGACGTTCGGGATCGAAATCTTGATTTTGCCTTTTCTAGCTGCGATTTGTTTTTTATTATTATTGACACAAGATCCTGGAATAATATTGTCTAGGCACTTGCGTACTTAGGTGAACGGGGGCGGGGAGGGGGGGAGGCGCGGGGGCTAAAACGGGTTAGACTGTGGCACGGGAACCTGTTATGTAACTTTTCCGAATATTCTGATTATTGCCACAAGTATTTCTGCAAACACTAGACGCGGGGGGAGTCCTAGAATAGAGGTCTCCATTAGTGAACAGTACTCAGCTGTCTTGTCCCCCGGAAGAGCCCCGGAGGAGACTGATCCTACTGTAAATGCTGCATTGCCTGGGGACTGCGTCCTTAAAGAGAGGTGGAAATAAAGGTGAAGACACCTCTTGCCAGGACTCCTGAGAGTCCAGCCCTGGTTGGGGCAGAAAGACTGCCTTGCTGTTTCCTATGTGGGGTATTTAAGACCTCCCTTCTTGGGTTGTTCAGCTCCCTGAAGAGAAGCTGGAAACATAACTGGTGGCTCCCTTGGTTGTACACCCTAGCCCTGGCCTGAGAAGAACAACTGACCAAAATAGTGAAATCAGACTGGCTTTTACTGTTACTCCCCCCACCCCCAGGGCATTCTCCTACTTAAAGGAAAATAAGTCAGCTTCCTTCTACCCCTGGGCCTTTGCACATGCAAATCCTGTCTGAAATCACTGCCTGAAGAACTTTTTGGTTTTTTAGACAGGATTTCTCCATGTAGTTCTGACTGTTCTGGAACTTACTGTTTAGATCAAGCTGCCTCTAACTCACAGACCTTCTACTGCCGACCACCAAACCTGGTTAAATTCTTTTTTCATTTTTAAGACCGGTTCATGTAGCGAAGATTAGCCTCAAGCTCAGTTTATAGCTGAGGATGACCTTGAACTCCAAACCGGATGCCAGAATTATGCCTGAATTCCTAATCACTGTTTAGAACTTGGCTCAAACATCACTTCCCATGAAAAACATTCTTGGCTGCACACCTACCTCACCAAGACAAAGAATATGTCTTCTCTCTTGTATGTGTTCACAGAATATTGGTTTCCTTGTGAGGTTTCAATATAATAATTCACAGTCCTAGCTTTGTTTTATGTTTTTAAAGATTTATTCCTGTATTTTTTGTATATGAGTGTTTATTCCTGTATTTTATGTATATGAGTGTTCTGTATTTTATGTATATGAGTGTTCTGTCTTCACACACACCAGAAGGAATCAGATCCCATTACAGATGGTTGTAGCCACCATGTGGTTGGTGGGAATTGAACTCAGGTACTCTGGAAGAGCAGACAAATGCACTTAACAGCTGAGTCATCTCTCCATTCTCTTGTTTCACTTTTTAACAGACAGTAAAGTTGATTTTTGTTTGATGTATGTATCTGTGAATATGAAGAGTAGATTCATGTAATGGCTATCACAATCAGAGCTACAACAGTTTTATCACCCTTCAAAAGACTACCTGGTACCCTTTGTGGTCATACCTTGCTCGTCCCTAATGCCTAGCAACCACTGATACACTGCTCTCAATCACAATGATACTGTCTTTTCTAGAATGTCCTATAAGTAAAGCCAAACAATACATATTTCACACCATAATAATTTTTCCATGTTGCATATATTGCTAGCTCATTCCCTGCTGTTGACAATTAGCATCTTGGTGCATGAGTATATACTAGTGTGACTACCGTGAACCAATGGGACCTTGGGTTATTCCCAGCTCACTCTGTAGACCAACCAGCAGGCTGGCCTTGAACTTACAGAGAACTGCCTGCCTCTGCCTCCCAAGTGCTGGGATTAAAGGTGTGCGCCACCAATGCCCGAAGTGAGTTCTTTTTAAGTGACATGTAGTTGAGTCATGGGTTTTCTTATCCATTTTGCTGATCTGTCTTTCGACTGGAGAGTTTACTTCCTTGCATTTAAATTATCAGTAGTGAATGGGGCTTCATTGCACTATCTTACTGTTTTCTCTTTCTTCTGCCTTTGTGTCCTGTGCTGGAATGAAACCCAGGGATTCATACAAACTCCACACTGAGCCACACCCTCAGCCCTCACTATTTGTTTCTAGATGCCTGAGAACTACCGTCCTTTGTTTCCACATTACTATAGTAGTTACCCCCTTGTCTGTAGGAGATGCCTTCTGAGACCCTCAGTGTTTGGGTGGGCCAGATGACTCAGCAAGTAAAGGTGCTTGCCATCAAGTCTAATGCCTTGAGTTCATGCCCAAGAACCCATGGGGTGGAAGCAGAGAACAGACTACAGCTTGTCCTCTGACCTCCACGTGCTTTCTAGTGCCCTCTTCTGGCCTCTGCAGGCATTTCACACACTTGGTACATGGACATTTATGCAGGCAAAACCACCATACGCATAAAATAAATCTTTTAAAAAAGACATGAAACTTATGTTGAAGTTTCTTGTTTTGTTTTGTCTGTGCTTGCCCTATCCCAGTACTGTTAAAGAGTTCAGTTTCTCCATGTAATTGTCTTGTCTTTCAAAACCTCAGATGCTGTACTTGTATGAATCCGTATACCATCAATACTAACCACTTTCAATTATAGTAGCCTATAGTAAACCTTAAGTTCAAAGGCTAATATTCCTCCCAACGTTTTATTTTTTACATTATTTAATCTGTATTCCTTTGCCTTCTTATATAGATTTCAGAATCATTTTGTCTTATCTATGAAAAATGTTCCACTGGGAAAATGGGAGTGTGGCTCAGTAACTGGGGGATGGGGGTGTGGTTCAGTAACTGGGGGATAGGGGTGTGGTTCAGTAATGGGGGACGGGGGTGTGGCTCAGTAACTGGGGGATGGGGGTGTGGCTTAGTAACTGGGGATGGGGGTGTGGCTTAGTAACTGGGGATGGGGGTGTGGCTTAGTAACTGGGGGATGGGGGTGTGGTTCAGTGATGGGGGGTGTGGCTCAGTAATGGGGGATGGGGGTGTGGCTCAGTAATGGGGGATGGGGATGTGGTTCAGTAATGGGGGATGGGGGTGTGGTTCAGTAATGGGGATGGGGGTGTGGTTCAGTAATGGGGGATGGGGGTGTGGTTCAGTAATGGGGGATGGGGGTGTGGCTCAGTAATGGGGGATGGGGGTGTGGCTCAGTAATGGGGGATGGGGGTGTGGCTCAGTAACTGGGGATGGGGGTGTGGCTCAGTAACTGGGGGATGGGGTGTGGCTCAGTGGAAGGGATGTGCGCTGACTGACTTTTCTGTTGCTTTGGCAAGATGCCACGACCAAAGGCAACTTAGGAAAGAGTGTTTCGCTTGGCTTATGGCTACAGAGGGCAAGTCCGTGGTGGGGGCGTCACGGCAGCACACAGCTGAAGCATGAAGCTGGCTGGTCACAGTTCCTCACACATGACTGTGAACGGACAGTGGGGACGGGCCAAGGCTACAGACCCTTAAAGCTCACCCCAGTGCATACCTTCTCTAGCAAGGCAGTGATCCTAAATAAGAGTTCTGTAACCTCCCAAAACAGCACTGAGACCAAGTATTCATATGTGAGCCTATGGGGATATTTCTCTTAAAACCACCATATTTCAATACACAGGGTCTTGGGCTCAACCCCTAGAATAACACACACTAACCAAAAAAGTAACTTCTAAGATTTTCTAACCCTGAATATGGTATATGTATTTATTGGGGGGGGGGGAATGGGAGCTTGCTGGGGATTGAACCCAGCAAGCCAGGCACATGTTACCACTGAGCTAACCCCACACAAACTGGATTTATTTAATCAGTGTTTTTATGTTTGGTTGGTTGGGGTTTCCTTTCCTGGAATTTAAAACAATGCTCCTCTAACACTTTCTGAGTTCTAGAACCATAAGTCTGTGCCACATGATAATTTAGTAGTGTTTTTTAGTATATATAAATGTGGTTTTTTGTTTTTGTTAGCTTTGTACCTTGATAGTTCTCATTTTTTACTCTTGCAATTAAATCTGTTTCTAGTCATTTATTGCCAATTCATAGAAATAGAGTTGATTTGTGTTTTCTATGAGTTTATAAAAATCACTTCAGTAAGCTGGGCGTTGGTGGCGCACGCCTTTAGTCCCAGCACTTGGGAGACAGAGGCAGGCGGATCTCTGGGAGTTCGAGGCCAGCCTGGTCTACAGAGCGAGTTCCAGGACAGCCTCCAAAACAATACAGAGAAACCCTGTCTCGAAAAACAAAACAAACCAAAAAAATCACTTCAGTTATATGAGGAGCTTTTGGTAGATTCCTTGGGAGATTTTGGTTGGGATTTCGTTTTTAATGTTAGAGAAAACATACTCCTTTCCAGTGCATTGTTGATGTTAAACATATGTGGTAAGGATGCTCTCACCTTGTTCCTAGTCCTAGGAAGAAAACTGCTACTTTTCTGCATTAAGTACGGTCCCTTGCTAGTTGTCTTTAGTCACTCAACGTTTTAACATCTCCCCTCCCAGTAAGATGTAGGTGTCATGAAAGCAGGCTTTCTCTACTCTCAACTCAGTCTCCCTAGTGCTGGCATAATGCCCAGAACATAGTAGGCCCTTATTAAGAACTCCTAGGAAAAAGTGAAGATTTGGTTGTCGTCTGTCATGTTAGCTAGCTTACCTCCCTACCTGACCAACAGTAGGGGACACTCAGACATCTCAGAAAATAATCAGACAATAAACACCCCCAAGAATCCGCCGAGGCACCGGTCCACAGGCGACTATTTGAAGCTGCAGAGCATTTACAGGCCAGGCTTTCTAGCAAGCCTTTCACAGTGCCAAAGCATTCGTCTGTGAGACTAGGTGACTGTGGTAAAAGAATGACTTCTAATTCGAAAACATCCCACTCCCAAACAGAAGTCAAACAAAGCTCTCGGCTCTGAAAATGAAGAGCTTTTGGGTGAAAACCCCACTGCTCTGAACCTTGGGCCTCAGATGGGCAGGGTGGTTTCGTCAGGCTATGCCAGCCACTTCTACAAACAGAAAGGGAAGGTGGTGGCTGTGTGCGCAGCATCCCTGGCTCCGCCAGGCCCAACTTCTCTGAACGGCCTGCCCCCAAGGCCTGAGGAAGAGAATGTGAAGCAATGAGTACCAACCAGGCCTGCCTGTGGGATTCCCTGACCAACTCCTGCTCCCCAGGGCAGCAAGGAAAACGGGGTAGGGGGGCCTCCTCCTATCCTACCAGTGAGAGGTAGGATGACCTGGAGAAAAGTGTAAGAGCTGCCCAGTATGGAGATTTGCCCGCAGGTTCTTGTTCTGATCTCGGGGTGGTCTTCAGGGCAGATGGAGACCACCCCATACACTAGTGAGTGTGAAGTGTTCAAAAGTCAGCCGAGCTGCTATTCTACCCTAGTACCAGCCTGTTGGGACTATTCCTGTCTAGAAGGCTGGGGATACCACAGATCCCAACCCCGAGAGTCACTTCTTCAAGAAACAGACCAGGGGGCCACAGCTCCTGGCAAATTGCCCATGGACAGCTGCGGGTGGGGGCAGGGGTGGCAGGAGAAGCCAGCCAACAGGGAGAGTGGCTGGGCCACAGTCACAGCCCTGTGACCTCTTCAATGTTGCTTCTGCCAACTGCACTCTCCCCCCAGGGGAAGGGGACCATGGGCCCCCACACCAGGGTCTGCCCTTGTCTGACCAAAGGCAACCAGATCTGCTGCAGCTGCTAAGTGAGAGAAGGAGCACTGGCAGGGACCAGGGAAGCAGCTGGAGGAAGATTCCTGGGGGTGTAAATATTTATACAACATGGTGCGTGGGAAGAGGCTACACGGAGGAGGTGGTAGGAGGTGGAGGCATGGATAGATGGACAGAGCTTGCACTTGGGCTCAAGCGGGGAGGGCCAAGGACTGCTGATCCTAATCCCTGCCTATGATCCTACATTAGAGGCTGCTTCCCGGCCTCCAGTTCTCCTGTCCTAGTCTTAGAAAGCTCAGCACGTGTGTCCCAGTCATTCCCACTGTTGAGTCTATCCTCTGTGTATTTGACATGGATACTGATACAGAGGAGGGGTCTGCCTTGAGGCAGATAGCAAACAAGCTGACAGAGTCTAGGGGTAAGGACCTGGAGAGAGCCCCTTGTGGCTTATGACTTCAGAGCCTTAAAGGAGTTGGGAACCCCAAGAGTTGTACTCCAGGGCTGAAGCCTAGAAAAAATACAAAGATATGAAATGCAAGCAGATATACCTCTCAAGCCTTTTTATAAGCAATATATTCTAGAAGAGTGGCTCTCAACCTTCCAAATGTTGCAACCCTTTAATACAGTTCCTCATGTTCTTGTGACCCCAACCACATTATTTTTGTTGCTACTTCATAATGTAATATTTGCTACTGTTATGAATCATAAATATCTGTGTTTTCTGATTGTCTTAGGTGACCCCTGTGAAAAGGTCATTCGACTTCCCAAGTGGTTGTGACTCACCGGTTGAGAACTGCTCTTCTAGAGTGACAGAGGACACTGTAAATGGATGACTACATTAATAATGGAGATTCTGGCAAGAGAACAGGCATGAGTGAGGTGGCCAGGAGGCCCTAAATGACACTCGTCAGGCCACCGTCGCAGAACCTAGGAAGACAAGGAGGTCCCGTAGTACTCACTGCTGCTCCTGGGCACCCCAGCCCTGACACAGCCAAGCCCCAGGTGTGCCTGGCTAAACCCTGATGCAGCCGTGCCTTCTGCTGGGCTTGCTGAGGATGTAGCCAGGGCCCAACAGCGTTGGTGTTCCAGGATGGGAAGTGAGCCTGAACTGGTAGGGACAGCCAGATGGACTCCAGTCAATTTGCCTTGGACAGCTGGGGAGCAGGGCTCAGGCCACTCCCCTGTCACTCCAGACAAGAGGGGTGCGGTTGCAACTTCTAGGATTTCTCTGCTACCACACCCATCAAGAAGTGCCACCTGCCTCCATCAGTGCCCAGGCTGACCCTCAGAGCCTCCCATAGAAGGGTCTGAATTGCCCCCCAGTGGCCAGTAGCCTTGAGCGTCACAATGCCCGCTGGCCAGCAGTGGGTCCCTGGGGTCCAGTGGAAAGCTGCCTGTCTTCTCAGCAGATCGACCTAGAGGCAAGAACAGAACTAGCATACAGTAGGAGGGGGTGTCAGAGGGTACCAGAGCCCCCCAAGAGACAGACCCCTCTGCTTCAAGTTCTCCCTTCCCTCCAACACGAACTCTGCAGACAGTATCTCCCCAAAAGAGTACCACCCTAAGCTCCCGCCTCTTCTCTGAACCCTGTCAACTCTCACCATCCACCCAAGTAAAGGAGCCTAGGCCCACACACTGAGCAGGAAATGCCATCTGTCCCCACCCCTGACCAGGGCCTGGCAGCTAGCATTAGCCTGATTGAGGGCTCCTCTTCCAGGGCATCAGGGCTAAGGGGAACATCTTCAGGCACCCAAGGCCTCTGGCACCATGGCCCCTGCCTGCTGGTTGCAGTCCTCCATGCCAGCTCTACTCAGACAGATGAGCAGCAATAAATGTTGTACAGCCCCAGGAAATCTGCAGGAGAAAGGATGAGATGGGGGGAAGAAAACAGAAGCTAAGAAATGGGAGGGATAAATTCAAGAAACAGGAAAATAAATCATTCAAGAACCCAGATAGATAAGGACGTCAGAGAAAAGCCGGGAAATAGGCCAAGGCAGGTGGGGAAGGGACCTGAGAATGATTGAAAAAAAAAAAAGAGCAGTTATCAATATTGTGAAAACAAGAATATAAAAGTGAATGGGGTGGGGTCTAGGAAAGAAGCAGGGAATTCTGATCCTTAACCAAATGCTCTCAGGAATGTTCTTGGGGGTCTTACTGCTCTTAGGAGGGACTTCAGACTCTTCTGAACACTGAGCAGGGACAGTCCTAGGAAAGCCAACTTCTTCTCTTTGTTTTTCCTGCAGTTCTCCCAAGTCACTCCTACCCCTGGCCATTTGTGAAGTGAGGGCTTGTCTTCCTACAGCAAGGCCAAAAATCAGTGCGTTCAATGTGGGACTTTGGCAGCTTCCATCATGGCACCCTGTGGAAGGTTCCATGATGCATCTGAGCCGAGCCCCGTGCTAGACTTGGGAGTATAAGGCTCCTGTCTGGGAGTTAGCACAGGCTAACCTAACCTACTGAAGGTATGGAGGGCTGGCATACCTTCTCATCTCTTTGCAAAGTCAGGGGGATCCCGGCAATTGGAAACAACAGAACAGAGGATTTAAATTGATTTCTCGACATTCCATAAATAGATCCCTACCTTTCTCCTTGCAAGGGTTGACAAACAGTTGTGGAAGTTTACTTTCAATGCCTATGTCTGGGGACCCCAGAGGGATTCAGGAGTCACTGACGTGCTCCCTCTGGTGGCTGGGGCTCCATCACTCCCTGTTGTCCCTCTTCTGTTGCTCTGCCACTGCCTCTTCTCCAGTTTCCTTAGTGACACACACCTGGCCACCCTCCTACCTCCTTAGGACACCAGAGCTGTGAGAAACCAGAAGCAGGACAGACATGGTGAGCACGAAGGGCTTTGTTTCAGCCCCAGCATTGCTGAGCCAGGCATATGGGCTGAACTCCTCGGATAAATAAAGAAGGCAGGGCCCAGGCTAGTCGTCCTAGAGTTCTGAAGTACTGGACCCTGATTCTGTACATGCCAAATGTCACGCTTTCATCTACCTCAAGCTGGAAGATATGACAAAAAGTACGGAAGGAATAATGTCTAGGCTATGGCCTTACAGACTTAACTCAATGTCTTCTTATCCCTGCTAACCTCCAAACCTGTCACAGTCTTGGGATCCCTGACTCAAGCTATTACTTAATCACAAAAATAGACAAACCAGGAAATCGGAGACCAGATGACCTAAATGTGTTAATCTCCCAAGCAGTATACATAAACCTTACTCTCTGTTCTCAAGTTGTGAACACAACAAGGAAAATACACAGCAACCACAGATTTCAGCTTCTTTGAGATTGGGCCTCAAAAGGCAACAGACCTGGTCAAAAGTCAAGTTGCCCAATAGTTTCTTAAATGACTCTAAACATTGGGAATCATCATATTACAGGCTGTGTTCAAATCCTGGTACTGCAACTTCCTGGGCAGGCAAGGGACCTACCTGCCCTCCCCTAGTCTCCTCCCTGAGAATGACAGTAACCATGACACCGATCTCCTGGGGCTGCTGTAAGGACAAATGAGCAAAGCCCTTGACACGAAGTTGATGAGTGCGACACCAGCAGCCTCCAAGCAAGCCAGTCAACTTTTGTTGTGCTTTAAGCAATAAGGAACTGACAAGGCCAAGGAGGAGGCTGGAAGCCCCACCAAGGAGGACTCCATGGAGCCACTGGAGCAAAACCAAGTATCCCAAGCAAGAGAGACAGTCGGGTCCCCAGAGAAGGCCCGGGCAGCTGGTAGGTGCAGCGCTAGATGGGAAAGCCAGGGACACCTGCCCAAAGCCAGGGTGTCTGACAAGGTCGGGGGATAGTCTCCTCTCATTAACTCAGCACGGCTGCACCCCACTTTTGTGTGTGTTTATGTTTGCATGAAACCCAACAATGCTGAAGTAGCACCACCCACTCTCAAGGGCTATTAGGGAACTGCAGCTGGAGTGGGCTCAGAGTGGCATTACTCTAGAGACCCACTAACCAGGCATTTCTGCATGGATGCAGAACCTGGTCCTTCTGTGAGTGGCATGAGTAAGAGGTCCTTGTACTTACGTTATCTTTACTATTAATTGTTGCACTTATTTTTAGGGGAGGGGTGTGTACATGCTGTAGCACTCATGGAGGTTCTGTCCTTCCACTGTGGGTCCTAAAGATCAAACTCAGGTCAGCAGGCTGGGCGGCAAGTGACCCATACTGACATTCTTTTTACAGCAGATTTTTTTTATGTAGACTAGGATCTAATATACAAGATTTCTTTCAACATCAAGAGTGGGGCTAGGGATGTAGTGGAACAGCAGGTGCTTAGCATGTGTGGGGCTTCCCCATATTTCAAAACAAAACCCCCAAAAAACAGCACATGGAGAGGTGGCTGGGTTGTAGGTGAACAAGCGTGGCTGATGCCGGATAATGGGCCCGTGTGTTTGTTTGTTTGTTTAATATATCTGTCTCCTGTGTGTGTTTAAAATTGTCCCAAATAAAATGTATTAAGTTCATAAAGCTGGAATGATTTTTAACTCAATGATTTCTCATTGGATCTTACAGCACACTACTTCCCATGTGCACACTATCTTAGACTAAAGATGAGGCCATAAAGATGTCAAGGAGAGAAGGGACAGGACAGCCCTACCCAGGGTCAGGAAAGTTCTAGCCCCGCCCCCATTCTCATGTGAGGACCATGGATGGATGGGCCCCTCCTCTCACCATCTCTGGGCCATTGCAGGATGTGGAGCACAATTAACTGTTACATTGCTTTTAGGTTCTGTAAAATTGTTTTTCAATTTTTGGTTTAATGCATTCTAAGACACAGTGATTTTTTTTTAACCCCTGTAGTAAAAGGCAAACTATTAACCCTTTTCTTTCAGGAAAATGGGGAGAATCACACATACCGGATCCACCTCCTAGGGTAAAATGGCTTAGTATATTGTGGTCCCTGTCACTAATAAGCATTGTCAGTGGTGTGGCTGTCAAATTGTCTTCTGCAGATGGCAGCCTTAGCCTCTGAAGCTATTAGCAGAAGACCCCGTCTAGGACACTCTAAGTTACAGATGTTCCCCCTTTCTTTTTCTCCTACTTGGTTTTGTCTCAGTACATTTGCTGCCAGAGCAAGCACTTGTTTTTACTTTTCAGACAGAGCCTGTATCTCATTTTGTAGCTCAGAGTAGCCACAGACACACAGTGAGCTTCCTGCTTCTGTGTTGGGATTATAGGTGTGAGCCATGATGCATAGATATCAAAGATTTTTTTGTTTGGTTTTTGTTTTTTGAGACAGGATTTCTCTGTGTAGCCCTGGCTGTCCTGGAACTCACTTTGTAGACCAGGCTGCCCTTGTCTCTGCCTTCTAAGTGCTGGGATTAAAGACAAACACCACTTTTTTTTTTATGTATACAGTGTTCTGCCTGCATGTATGCCTGAAGGGCAGAAGAGGGCACCAGATCTCATTATAGATGGTTGTGAGCCACCATGTGGTTGCTGGGAATTGAACTCAGGACCTCTGGAAGAGCAGCCAGTGCTCTTAACCTCAGGGCCATTTCTCCAGCCCCATCAAAGATTTTCTTAAACATCAAAAATAAATGTAAAGGCACACTACTCTGAACCTCTTTGGGTCTAGCATCCTGCCAAGCATTGGAGAAGTCATGACTACTGTCCTCCCCAGAGAAGCCTCTGGTTTAGAACATGTCACCCAGAAGGATGGGATCTTTCCCTCTGGCTGAACGAGCTGGAGGTGGGTGAATAGGACACTTCCTGCTCTGAAACCCCAGCCCCCACAAAGTAGAGCCATACAGATGAAGTCATCCCTAAAGACTGGATTTGCGGTGTACTCAAAGGGCTGCCCTGGCTGGCAAGCAAGCCATGAAGGCCTCCACACAGCAAAGGGCAGTACAACACACCTTCGAGAACAGGAGGGATCCCCCAAAGGGCCCAGTGACCTGGCCAGAGACACGTTTCCATGGTCGGTAACCATGGCTGCATACAGAGGCTGCAAGAGGCCTCCACGATCATTTTTAAAGTTTTTGCCTCAGGTCACACGGCCAACGGGATCCTGAAAAGCAAGTTTCTGCTTGTGACTTGAGGCAAGGGGCCTGCCAGGGAAAAGATAAGGGCTGGAGCAAAGAGCTGCAGATGAAGCCGCCATGTCTGAGCCCCGCTCTGAGGCCTGATGCCAGCCACATGAAGGGATGAAGGGTGCGAAGCTGGTTTGTATCACATCTTGAGTTACAACCACTGTCCCAGAACCTAGAGAAGGGGAGACGGAAGGGCTCCCACCCGCCCACCCTCTCTCCCTGCTGCCTTCCCTAGGGTGGGGAGAAATCTGGAGAACTTACAACACAGCTAGAATGGACTCAGAAAGCCTCTGGGCTTTGAGACCTATGTAATGCATTCCTGAAATTATCCCAAGTTCCTAAACTCCTGGCTCCAGGGAAAGCAATCTCCGAGAGACCTTGAGAGCAAGGGCTCAGGGTGCAGGCTTGGGAGCCAGAAATCGAGACTTCAAACCCCACCTATTAGCTTAACACTACCCAAGGCACTAAGGCTGCTCATTTCTGTAAATTAAGCCTGACCTTTGCTTGGATGATAGAAAATACTCAACTGGCTCAGCCCAAGCCCCCAACCCAATGGGGACGCACTGATGCCAACTGCATGGCCTTCTGGAAGAAATAAACACACTGAAAACAGCTGAAGGAAGCAGAGTACTGCTTCCAACTCAGGCTCAGAACCCCAGAGACCTGTGCCTATATCCGTCAGAATACAGCTTCCAGAAGCCACCAGGCTAAAAAGGCTGCTTGAGTCTGCAATGGTGGTGGGCTCGCCTGCTTTTTCCATTGGGCTAGAGTGGAAAGGGGACATTGTGGGTTCTCTGTGGGACAGTCTGAGCGAGGCTAATTAAGCACATGGCCAGAAGCAGAAAGGCAGGTGCCTGTGGGGGACATTCCCACAATGACATACCTAGGGACAGACAGCCACCCTTTACTGAGGCCATACCAAGGCCAGAGGTGTGATGCTTGCAGGCTGGGGGTTCCCCAGGCAGGGAGGAAAGAGTTAAGCTGCTCTGGGCTGGGAAGGAGGGAGGGCTCAGCAACTATAAACAGTGAGCCCTGAGAGGGAAGGAGGGAGTTGACAGGATGTGGCCCGGGCTTGAGCTGTCTGGTTATTAACTTCACTTTTATTTGGAGGGGGATTCATTCGGTTTTGCGTCCCATCAAGGAAGTGAAAGCCCAGGTCTCAGAGGGGCCCGGTTTCAAATTGTTCTGTCACAGCTCATTTATTTTTTCCCTTAAATAAATAAACAAAACTACTTCTGTTTTCCCCTTAGTGAGCATTCAGCAAATCACCTGTGGCAGAGGCAGGGACGGGGTTCCCTGGGGTCCTTCATGGGAGGAGTCCGGACCTCATCTTTTCCAAGGAAGACGGGAGGCTCCTTCCTATGGCATCAGCCTTCTCCAAGCGGCCACAAGCCATCCTTCCCTGCTCCTGTCACCTCAGCCTATACCTCGAGTCCAGCCAAGCACCTAGCCCCAGGGATTCTCAACCTTCCTAATGCTGCAGTCCTTTTAATACAGTTCCTCATCTTGTGGTGACCCCCCTCCGTAAAATTATTTTCATTGTGATTCATAACTGTAATCTTGCTGCTGTTATGAATCTTAATGTAAGTATCTGTGTTTCCCTATGGTCTCAGGTGACCCCTAAGACAGAAGGGGTCGTGACCCACAGATTGAAAATCATTGGCTTAATCTTCAGCAGGCCCTGGGCCCCACAGCCCAGACCATACAGAGGAGCGGAAAGGGATTCTGGGAAGGTTAACCTTCTCAGCCTGCTTCAGACCTATGGTTTTGGTTCCTACGCCACCCTGACATTTCCACCCAAAATAACTTTCAGCAGTCAAACACACAAAAGCATTCCATCCCGGGGCTTAAGAAAACACCGTTACATCTTCCTTTGCTCAAGGTTCAAAACCTATGAGAACCTTGCCCAAACACTATGCCCAAATCCAGATTAGAGCCCACTCAATCGCGTGGCAATTCTCCTGCAGGTACCCTTTCCCAGTAAGGAAGACCAATTCCATGCTGGGTGTGACCCTCAGAAGGGGAGGGTGCAGCCACAGACCGAGGAGGCCCTCGTGATGGTCTGTAGGTGGGCTAGCCACTGAGAGGCAGTCATTTGAAACAAAGCGGGTAATTAAGGTAGGCTTCTGGTGGGTCTGATACTTAAGACAGACCTTGAAGAACTGACAAAGACTATTCTAGAACATGAAAACTACAACCGATTGAAGGCCGTGGGGGAGCAGTGGGGTCCTCTGCTCCTCAGACAGCATCAGAATGACTGAGAAGCCAGTAATGAGCTGGCCGCGTACAGCACGGGGCAGCCGGTCCTTGGCCCTGGGTTGGTGTGACCCGAGGGCATCCACCGTTATACCACCTTGTCTCGGACCCTAACCCTGGGCTGCCATACGACAGCCTGATGATCACTCTGACCTACTTCAACCACCTATGACTTTAAGCTCTGTGAATATAGGGCAAAAAGAACGAGGAGGCGACTGGGCCACGTCCAATCAATGACCGAAGCGCTGGCCCGGCCTGCTAATGGCTGACTGTCAGCATTTCCCAACACCCCGAGGAACGTGCCAGGGCCTCGGGTTCTCTGCCCATTCTTAGAAATTCCTCCGCAGGCCCATGACACTTCGCTTTCCAAAGCCCGGACCTGCCGCGGGGCTCGGTGGCCCGACCCCTGGCCGCGCCCAGAGCGGCCAGGAGCGGGTTAAGGGCGCCAAGATGGCCGGCTTGTTTTGCTCGCCCAGGCGTCACGCGGAGGCTTGCCCTTTGCCTCCCGGGCCGCGGTCAAGGTTCCGCCGCCCTCGATGGCACCCAGCCCGGCGGAGCCTCCTCCCCTGGTCCCGGAGCCTCGCGAACCTTCTAGACCCAGGCGCGGCAGGGCGGCCTGCCCGGAGCTTCCGGGCCGCTGCGGGCCCTTCGACATCCCGGAGCGTCTGCGGCCCCGGGCGGCGGCTGGTGACAACGGTGGCCGCCGCGCCGCTCTTCCCCAGCAGGCCTCCCCGGGCCTTTCCTGCAGCGCAGCGAGCGGAGGCGGTGCGATGGGCGTGGCAACACTGCCCTCCAGTGGACAGTATGCCGAACAGCATGCGTGGGACCCTCAAAACTTGCCTTTGCCCACCCGGGGAACTGGGCTCAAACAGCTGGGGAAGTGCCTTGTAGATGGTTCTCCAACTTGAGTGTGCAACACACTTTCCCAGGCGGCTCATCCAAAATCAGCTGCTGGCCTGGCCCCAACTCAGAGTTTGTAGTCTACGGAGTTCCAGAGAGAATATGGCTGCTGCAGGCCACTTGGTCCTGGAACCGCCAGCTCTGCGCACTTACCCAGGCCGGGAATCTATTATGTGTGCAGTATGCCCTGCAGACAGAGCACAGAGGATAAACTGTGACTCTGACAAAGTTCCCACCCATATGGCACTTAGAAGAGAGGATATGCTTGTGTGAACACTCATAAATCTAAGACTGCGCTTGGAAACCTGAAATTCTGTTTTATTTTGTGTGTATGGGTGTTTGTCTGTATGTATTTCTGTGCACCATATGTGTGCAATGCACTCTGAGACCAGAAGAGGACTTTGAATCCCCTGGAACTGGAGTTGCAGATGGTTGTGAGCCACCATGTGGATGTTGGTAATTGAACCCGGGTCCTCTGGAAGAGTGGCCAGTGCTCTTAATTGAGGAGCCGTCTCTCTAGTTCCTTGAAAAAGTTTTAATACATTTATAAAAAAATACACTTATATAGCCTTGATATGTGTGACTTTAAAACACACACACACAACACTTGCATCAAGTCAGGACAGTGTTCAAGACTGTGTACCTTCTTTCCAACATGTAGATTCTGGGGACCAAACTCAGGTTATCAAGCTTGTGTTACCATCACTGTTACCAGTTGAACCACCTACCGGCCCCAGTTTGAAAAAGTTTCCAAATTCCTATGAAGGGAAATATTAAGGTATTCAAAGATGACACATGAATAGGGAACTACAAAGTCCCCAATTTATGATGATTTCACCTTTAAGGTGGTACAAAAGTAATTTGCATTTGGCAGAAACCAGAGATGAATTTTTAATTCTGCCCCCCCCTCCCCTGCTAGCAATAAACACGATACTCTTTTACAGGAAGTTCCTACAGTCGCAGATGGAAAACAGCCTGTGGTCTACGGTGTGCTGAGTTGCTAAGTGGCGATGTTCAGTAAGTTAAGGTAGCCAGTGCGCTTTCCATTCCTCATACCACCTGGCATTTCCAGTTTATCTCGGGCTCGTTGGGACATGGCTTCACTGCAAATCACCAGGGAGCATCTGTGACTGAAGCTGGGGGTGAGAAAACTGTCACCAAGGACTTTCTGAGGAAACCCTTAAGCGGCGTCTAGAAAGAGGGGTTAGGAAGGCCGTGGGGAGAACCTAACAAAGCATTGGGAATGATAGGACAAGAGCATCACCATCCCTGTGAAGGCTGAAGACAGACAGAAGGGCCCAGAGCTGGTCCCCAGGGACCTCCCTCTTCAGAAGGGACCCTGAATACTCACAGCCACACCCAGGATGATATCTTGCCTTTAGGAACCCCAGCCCTGTGCTCCTGGACCGTGAACTTCTCACGGAATCAGATTTGCTTGAAGCCTGAAGGAGAATCACATTTGATGTGTTGAGTTTTGTCGGGTAGCGGTAAAAAGACAGAGTGTCAACTACCCATCTGTGTGTTCTATGCTTTGTCTGGGGCCCATGTCTTCAGTGAACATTTATATATATATATAAATATTAAGATTTATTTATTACATACACAGTGTTCTGCCTACATGCCAGAAGAGGGCACCAAATTGAATTGTAGATGGTTGTGAGCCACCATGTGGTTGCTGGGAATTGAACTCAGGACCTCTGGAAGAGCAGTCAGTGCTCTGAGCCATCTCTCCAGCCCCCATTCAGTGAACATTGTTAAGCACCTGTTGTATACTTGGCACTCGTCTCACAATTATGACATGTGAGGAGGGGCCCGCCCCGTCCTTGTCCTGCTGCTCCAAGCACTTTGGAGGGCAGTCTCCCTTCCACCCCCTGTTTATCCACCTTCCTAATGAGCCCAGGGCTGGCCAGGTTGGCGCATGGCGACCATGAAATGCTGTTGCAGGGCACTCTTACCAACTTGGAGAAGAGGATGGGTAAGCACCAGCCAGGGCCTCGCTGTTGTTCAGGCTGTGACAAAGAAGCGTTTCCCATTAGTCCTGCCACCTTGCACAGAGGAATGGCGTTAGGACACGTGTGTTAGATGGTCCAGCTCCCCGTCAGAGGAATGGCGTTAGGACACGTGTGTTAGATGGTCCAGCTCAGTCCCCCAGCACCCTGTCGTGGAGTGAGGAGAGAGGAGAGTTCCTCTCCAGGGCCCCCACCACTCCAGTGTTTGGCAAAGTAAGGTCTTTGGGGGTCCGTGGACTCCAGGCCAGTTGAGCTAGGGAGAACACATAAAAAAAAGTTTCCCTTTCTAATTCAAACCAGTTCAAGTCAGCTCCTGATTCTGTGTTATCTCCAGCAAGTGGTTTAATCTCTCCGAGCCTCGGTTGCCCCATCTGGGAAATGGGAAAGCACAGCATTCTGCCTGGTTGGAAGATTCCGAAGATTAGTAATAGCAGCCATCACTTCTCCGCTGCTGGCACTGTGCCAGGCACGCAGGGCTTCTCATGAGGTCATGTGTGGAAGTGCTGGCCTCTGGCCAGCCAGGAGTCAAGCCCCATCCTGGGAGCCACGGGTGCAGTTTCACAACTGTGCTGGTGCTCAGTGCACGTGGTTAGCACTTAATAGGTGGACGACGTTTAGCAAGACCTAGACACACGGCAAGCACTCAATAAATGACCTCCATTACAAGCCAGAGAGTGGGGACCTGTGTGCCAAAGTCCCGTGACAAAGAACGCAGAGAGGTAGGCGGCCCAGGTGATGCTTCACCCCTTTCTCTCTCCTCAGGAGGGCCAGCCCTTGTGTGTTAGCCAGCTCCCCGGGCTGGGACGTCAGCTCTTACCCACTCTACCCAGGGAGAAGCTTAATTAGCCACCCAGCAGCCAGGAGCGCCCCAGATGAAAGGTGCTGAATTTGAGTAGAAGGCGTGACCCCCATATTTATAACCAGGGCTCCCTTAGGTGAGGAAGGCCGGGGGCGGAGAGGCAGGCCAGATCAGGGCCTTGCCTTGTTTACGACAGCGGCTCTCAGGAAAGAGAGGCGGTTGCAGTGGCTGTGAATCTGAGAAGTCTCCAGGGGGTGGGAGTGGGGTTGTAGACGGCCTAAGAGTGGAAGGCGTTGGGGGGATGAACGGATCAGAAGGCTGAATGGTGTCCCAGGTATTGCTCCGCCTCCTGTACCAGGAGCTCCAAGGCCCGAAGTGGGCCTGGATGGGGTGGGTCACAGTGGGTAAAGGGCTCTGATTTGGGGCTGCCAGGTCTAAATGCTAGCTCTGCTGTGGCCTTCTGAACTCCCTCATTGACTGACAATGCTTAACGGGGAGATGCAGGCACCTACTATGCCCATTGTGTACTCCATAGGCCCTAACTGGGTGCTGGAAATACAGCCCAACAGAAGGAAGGGTTTGCTTGTCTGCATGACAGACCCCAGGCCCAAGAAGGAGAGATAAGGAGGTCAATGGCTTACAGTCTCTGCTCTCCATGAGAGGGATGGCAGTCACGTGTCAGATGCAGAGATCAAGCACTTCACTTTCCGCAGACACCCCGGACAGACAGATCAGCCGCTGAGGCAGGTAAAACTGAGTGGGCAAACTCAGACACAGGTTGAGGGGCCAGGTCTGCAGCCTAGGATATTCCTGATGCCTATCTGACAAAGCAGATGCTGCAGTCCCCTCTGCCTCAGGCTAAGAAATGCACCTGTAGTAAAGGACATAGCTAAGTGTTAAGATGGCATAAGGACCAGACCAGCAATGGCCACATGTCATCAGCAAGATCAGCAAGGTTAGGGGAAGTACCCAACCTGTGGGCAGCTGCAGCTAGAGGGTGAGGACAGGATGCTCAGATGCATCTCACAACCCCGCCCACCCTCCTCACTCCCCTACCCTCCATCCCCGTCTATCTCCACCAAAGCCGGCTTCCTGGTAAAGCAGGCCAATAACAGAAGCCGGGCTCCTCTGCCTGCATCCGTATCTGGAGGCAGGCAGCATTGCCCAGCCAAGGAATCCGAGGAGGAAAAAATGGTACTCTGCATCACCAGGGGCCCGTGGTATCACTCCAAGAGACAGAATGGGGTGCTGGGCTGAGCTGAATGGCAGGGGTCTTTCTCAGGACAAAACACTGCCACCAGCACCGTGCCATCCCTGGTGACAGAGCACTTCCGAGGTTCTAGGCATGTAGTTCTTAAACCACTAAGATTTTTACCAAAGATCTTCCCGGGGCCACAGGGCTAGTGTGCGGAGGATTTGCACTGCGGTCTGGCTCACCCCAGATTTTCCACACACAGTTCACCATATCCTTCAAGCAAGCCAGCATTTGTTTTCCTAAAGGAGCCCACAATGGTCCCCTGTGTGCTGCACGGGCTCCTAGCCAGGCTGCCTGCCAAGGAGTGAGGGACAAAAATCGTCCAACACAGAGTACCCACCCCAGCCTCTCTCCCTCCCCCGCCTGGTCTCGGCCAGCCTGTCCACAGACACGAAGTTCTGCCCGTCCACAGGAAACTCAGAGGATCTGAAGAGAGCTGTCCCCACCTGGGCCTGGAGAAGGAAGGGGACTGGATGAGAAGTCTAGGTCCTCAGGCAGGAGCTAAATGGTCCCTTCAAGCCCGTCCACACCTCTGGCAGCTGTCCTGACTAGCTGCCTTGGCAGAGAGCTGAGCGAGCAAGCTGGGTCTTGCCCCGGGTGCCTTAACTGACCCGAGGAAGCCCCGGGTGCCCTTAAGAGAATCAGGCAGAGGGAACGGGGTGCGTGGGAAGGTGGCTGATTACCATCTCCCATTTCAGGGGTGGGGTGCGGCCACCCACCTGGGGAATATAGCCTTGGTTGTTTGGCAGCCATGAGCCCCCGTCTGTCTCAGGCTCGCCAAGGGTCAGACGGGGTAAGAGATAGGCCGAATAAAGCCAGGACACGGTCTCTGCGCTGACCTGAGCTCCATTCTCCGCGCTCCAGCTGAAACCCTTCATGTGCAGCAATTCTGAAGCCGGTGTTGAAATCCACTCTGAGACGAGAAAACCGAGGCCCAGAGAAGTGTGAGAGATACGCCCACAGCCGTGTGGTCCATCGGGATGTGCACTTGGTGTCTCTGATCACAGAAGTTTTGTCTTTGATGCCCACTTAGAGCTTTTCTGTTGACTGTCATGGGAATCGGCAATGGGGACAGTGTGTGAAGGAGGGAGCAGGCTCGTGAGCTGATGCGTGAGTGGACCAGTGGGTGTGGACCAATCAGTGAGTGGCTGAGTGGGTCAGTGAGTGGCGGAGTGAGTGGGCCAGCGACGGGATGAGGCATCGGTGCAGAGGAGTGGGTCAGTGAGTGGATGGGGGCATCAGGGAGAGCGTCGGTGAGCGGGCAAGTGGGTAATAGCCCAACAGACAGAACAATAGGAGCGGAGTGGAGCGGCAGACAAGGGGCAGGTGGCTAACCGGCTCAGCTAGGGAGATGCAAGGAGGGGCGTGGCTTCAGAGAAAAAGCTAGCTCTTTGGGATGCTGGCTCGCCAGGAAGAGTACCCCCAGATCGCCCTCCTTAGAAAGAAGCCTTGAGAAAACCAGACTGGGGAGGCTCCAGGACCCCTACACACTATGGCCACTCAGTGACAGGCTGGGTTAATCATTGACAGGTCTTTGAGATCTCCATTGCTTAAGAGGACCCTGGGATTGACCTGCTGACACACACACCCCACTCCCGCCCCCCTGCCCTCCACCCCCAAGCAGGGAGGAAAAGAGGAAGGAGAGAGCTGTTGTTGGCCCTGCTGGAGGCAAAGATGATGCCCTAACTGCTGACCTCGGGAGGCAGGGAGCCCTGGTCTGGGTCTTAGGGAGGGGGTGTTTACTGTCCCAGCCCTGTTTACCTAAGAGGACGCAAGGCAGCCTGGAAATGGCTCACCAAGGGGCCATTGTTGCGAGCAGGGAGCACCACAGGGTCTTTGCCTTCTTGGGTAAGATCTCACTTGGGGTCTAGACTGGGGGCTGAGGTAGACTGGGCTGGCCCCAGGCGTGAATCTATTCTGATGTGGGTAAGAAGGAGGCTATTGGTTAGATGTAGTTCCGGGTATCAGAAACCCGGAGGGAGAGATGAGTAGGGGCCTATGAGTTCACCCCAACACCTTCTATGAGGAACAAAGGTAAAGGCACCTGGCTAACTCAAGGTTGATTGCATGAGTTTAAAGGCACACAGAGAAACCCCTCCATCTCCCCTCCCGACCAGACCCAGGCAACTCTCTGGGGGGAAACTGAGGCAGGAAAGGGGCATCTGGGAGACAGCTAACATATAGCAAGAGTGGCACTGGCCTTGTTAAAAAGAGAAAGCTCTCTGGGGTAACTGCAAATGTGTTTCCTTTGTGGCCATTAACTTCTGTCATGAAAGAGCAGGCTTTCAGAGCCACACCCATGGCTACAGTCTCTCGGGAATAAGTTGCTCAAAATATGCCAGAGAAATATATCTGGAGGGTGGTATATTGTGGTCTCCTACCCTAACCCTGTCACGACCACAGCATCCTCGGCCCAGGTGTGATCTGTCACAGTCCCTCCCAGGTGTGAGTTGCTGGGACACACCGTATAATCAATCCAGTGAGGTCGCAAAGGGTCTGAAGGGAGCTAGAAGTGTGGGGTGCACAGGCATCTGGTGGACAGGTGATATGCTCCCCTGTGCCCCGAGGATCTGCTTGAATTGCCTGTCCTGGAGAAAACCTCTAGAGGGACAGAGGGACACACACACTGCCCTCTGTCACATTCCTGAGCTGGGTCCAAGGAAGCCACCAATGGCAAATACTCTGACCACCCTGCCCTGGGACAAACTGAGCAGGCTCATCAGCTGCCATTCTGGTGTCTAGCCTCCTTTTTGGAAAATGCCACAGAGGACGGTTTAGGCTTGAGGCAAGGTAATTCTTCAGAGGCATCTGTAGAGCCTTAGGGTGTAGCCGAGACCCTGGGAGGTGTCGTGCACCCCCTAGTGGCCACTCTCCGCAAGGCTGAACAGAGCTTCCGTGCCCACATTCCAGGTAAGATGGTGGATTAAAGAGCAGCTCTGCCTGTGTGTGATGGGATGAGTCGGGGAAACAAAGAATAGATTCTACTTAGCGATATAAAGAGTAGGGCATTCGACATTACAGGAGTTTTAGGATCGCCGAGAAACGCAGAAGGCATCTCTAACCATGCAGCTCCGCAGCAGGAGAAGATGAAGAAGCCTCACCAGCAAGGTGAGCCAGGCAACCCCTGGTGACAATGTGACTCCCAAGTTCACAGTTCTCAGAAACCTCAAGCCAGCTATGGGGTTTGGTGAGACCGTGACTCCTCAGGCATGATGGGTCAGCAGCGCAGAAATCTGTTTTGTAATTCCCCCGTATCTTGAAGGACCGTGGCTAGACACAATCTTGAAAGGGAACCTATTATTTAAGAATGGGCTACCCTAGTTGCTAGGAGCTGATCACATCACCTGGGAGTAACTGTGGAGTCTGATAGTCCCGAGCCTGAGATCGGAGATGGGGCAACCTCCAAAGCCACCCGGCTGCTGCCACCTTCATTGTCGCTGCGACTGGGAACTCAAGAGTCCGGCGGACCACTCAGTATCCGCAGCCTCGTGGTCTCGTGGGTTGTTTACTATCGGTCTTTGAAATTATGGGCACAGGTCTGTCTCTACCATCCTCAGTGCTGTGTTTGCCTCTCCTTTCCCGGGGCACCCAGGAGACAGCCCCTGACGAGAACAGCAGTCAACCCCGGAGGTGCAAACTGAAGTCATGGGCGAGCGGAAGAGCCTGCCCAGCTCACAGTCTCCCGAGGCAAGTGTGGCCAGCAAAGATTCCTGGTTAACAACGAAGGGAAAATACTGAAGTGACAACTCCAGAGGACACCCGGCATTTGTCAGATGCCTGAGCATAGGCATCAGTCACAGGAAAGAGAGAAGCCCTCAGGCGCCGCTGAATCCTGCCCACCTGGCAGATCCCAGTTACAGAGAATCCAGAGCAAAGCTTCTCTCCTCCATGTCACACCTTTTTTCTTTTTATTATACCTTCAGCAGTATTTTTATTTTTTGTTTTGTTTGTTTTTTGAATCAGGGTTTCTCTGTGTATCTTTGGCTGTCCTGGAACTCACTCTGTAGACCAGGCTGGCCTCGAAGGCACAGAGACCCGCCTGCCTCTGCCCCCTGTGCACGTGTCATGGCAGAGGTCAGAGGGCAACTCATGTGTGCTCCTGGGATCAAATTCACGTTATGAAGTTTGGTGAGCACCCGTTACCTACTGAGCCATCTCACTGGCTGACTTTATCTTTTTTTTTTTTTTTTTTTTTTTTTTGCTTTTTTGCTTTTTTGCTTTTTCGAGACAGGGTTTCTCTGTGTTGCTTTGGAGGCTATCCTGGAACTCGCTCTCTAGACCAGGCTGGCCTCGAACTCACAGAGATCCGCCTGTCTCTGCCTCCCGAGTGCTGGGATTAAAGGTATGCGCCACCAACGCCTGGCTTGACTTTATCTTATTTTTTAAGTTTTTATTTTTTATTTTCCTTCTTACACTTATCTAGTTTTGTTTACATATCTTTATCACTGAGTAGTTTTTTTTACTTTATTGTTAAATTGTATATATTTACTTAATGTGTATGGGTGTTTTGCCTCTATATTACATCTGTGTGCTACATGCATCTGGTACCTATGGAGACCAGAGGAGAGCATCAAATCCCCTGGAACTGGAGTTACAGAGGGGTGTGAGCCACCAAGTGGGAGCTGGGAATCAACCCCTCGTCTTCTTCGAGAGCAGCCAGTGC